TACACTCTCTTTCTCAATGCTTCCAGTACTTGTCTCCTACTAGCAGTAGGAGTAGTGGTCAGCCAGTGTTGAAACATCTTTAATGTCTTGCTTGTATCATCATGTCCTTGTAACTGCTCAATACTATCCAATCTCCTTTGTTCTACGTATAAAAATGTTCCCAGGAGATACCACTTAGTACCAACATCAATGTGTTCTAGTAGCTCAGGAAGAAGAGGAGCAGAAGACAAGAAAGCGCTGAAAGACTTTTCCTTGAGTTGATCCATTTTAGATTTGTTACCCAGCCACACCCTAGTAGATTGATTAGATAAATTCATAATCTTTCAAACAACTGACAAATTAAATCTTGCCACTTCCCCCCATTCTATTGTACACTACTTTCTTTATTCACAAGTTCACTTATAATTATTAGTAAGTGACTCATCCAAATAGAAAGAAAATGGTCAAGCATGTGTGTACTGTATGTGTTAGCAGTTTTGTTTATGTACAAGGTTGCAGCTTTTTGACTGATACACGGCAAGTGAGCTCAGGCTGTCTCCATCTGCTCATTGGAAGGAGGTGGAGCTGAGGGTTTGGACGTGTCTTCACTGAATAGGAACTGGTCCTGGTACTCTTGAAGGAATTGGGTTGATCTGTGCTCATCAAGGAATAGAGAGTAGACCCTCTTAATGTCATCAACATCAACCTCAGTACCCTAGAGGAGAGAGAGAGGGAGGGAGAGAGAGAGGGAGGGAGAGAGAGAGGGGGGGAAGAGAAGGCAAGAACAAAGGGGGAGAAAGGAGAGAGAAAAGTATTTTAAAAGAGGAGGAAAAGGAGAAAAAGGGAGAGAGAAGAAAAGACAAAGAAGGCAAATGAAAGAAAAATGTATATAAAAACATGACACATACAATGTACATGCATAATACTGCACTTTAATCTAATTCCACAATATTATACCTTTCTCTTCCTACAGGCCAGGCTAGCAGCTGTTATCAGTTGAATAGAGTATCGGAGTGAGGTCTCCATCCCTATCCGTGTTAATATCTCAAGAGCTTCCTCGCTCATTTCAACATCCTCTTCCTCACACCTGCCGGGAAAAAAACTCACATAAACCTGATATGATCATTCAAAGAAGCTGGTGGACTAGTTGATCAATAGACTAGGGATCATTTTGATAGACAACCAGGCCAAGGGGGAGCATGCAGACGTACAGTATAGCTGGAAACTTTTGAGGGATTAAATTTTCACACCCGTTCCACCATCTTGTACTGTATTTTTGTGCATTTTAACTTAATTTGCAAATCCCAAGTTCCTAACTAAACCGCAAAACACCAAAAGACAGTTAAGCCCCCAAAAGTATCCAGCTATACAGTAATATGCTTTTATTAACAATACTTACAGACTACAGTATCATACATTGTAGAAGTACAGGGGTACTGACCCCATTCAAAAATTTTTATCAAACACTCCATCGTTATTTTAAAGATTCTCCTGTAAAAACAGCTGTTTTATACTGTCCTAACAGGAAAGTTGCTAGTGGGGCGCACTAATTGTTAAGTGTATTCATTGCCGTAGCTATGACAACTAATGAAACAACTTCCTGTCTAGACTCAATGCTATAGAGGTCAGTAAAGAGAGGTTCCACTGTACTGTGGTGTCCTCATTTTTGGAAAAAAAAATTTATACATTTCTAACATTTTTTGGTAAAGCCTGGTTTACACTCGACACAGAACACAACGCAAATGAACGCAAAATTGAAATTTGACCAATTTTGCGTCAATTTCAAAGCATCTTTGCATCAAAAGGTCAAATCGCCCACGCACTTTTTGACCGTTTCGTCGAATGTAAATGTAACGCTTAACTATAAAACGTGATATAAACATTAGCAGAAGAAACGACTTTACAAAAAACTTCACATGATATTAACAATATAACAAACAATATACAAACAACAACAAACGATATAAAGAAACAAAACAATATAAACAATATTATACAAACCTGATGGTCAGTATTTGCTTTATTTCTTTCTCAGTGTAAGGTTTTGTTGATATTATTAATAATCGGTCCAATAGGTCAATGGGGATGCCATGAGGACTGGGATAATTAGTACCACGTATCCTAACAATAAAAACAAAAGAAAAAGAAACAGATAATAAACACATACGTGAATACTGCATAGTGTATAGTGCTTTAATTTGGCATTTTTGTCACAATGCTTAGCATGTGAAACCTTGCATTGGAATATTTCATTTTAGCTTAAAGTAAAATAATGTACATGTAGATGCAGGGCCGCCAATAAGCTATATGGGGCCCAGGGCAAAAACTTTGATGGGGCCCCTACTAATACAAATCGTCCCCTTACTAATAACAGTGATTAACAAAATGGCCCAGCAAGAGTTAACTTAAAAGACTTGTCATGATTCATTGATCTTTTTCTATAAAAAAACTACATATACTTTACTACTGACCAGGGCCATGGGGGCCCCCTTTGATTGGGGGCCTAGGGCAAAATGCCCCACCTGCCCAGCCCTGTGTAGATGTACATGTATTTGAATGTGCTTATGCATGTATGTGTATACTTTGTTATTCCCCTGTTGGTAGCCATTATAAGAATGGGTGCCATGTCACTCTCAAGAGCACGATTGAGATAAGAGAAACACTCAATGTCCAACATATGAACCTCATCAATGAACAAGACCTTACCAGAGAGAGAGAGAGTGTGTGTGTGTGTGTGTGTGTGTGTGGAGCAAGAAGAAATGTAGAAGAGAGAAGAAAGAAATACATTTACATTTTAAAATATGCCATGTAGTTTTACTTACTCCTGGCACAATTTCAGCTTTTCCTTCTTCTCTCCATTCACTGACTTTTGCATTTATCTGATCTCTCACTTCACTTTTAATCTCTCCAGTATCACCTAATAATAATAATAATAATAATAATAATAATAATAATAATAATCTAATAATAATCACCTAATAGCTCAAATAAAAATAAACATTATAAAAATACTGCACTACTCATTGAAAATCTTTTACTTCACAGGAACCCCTACTAACCTGAAAACAGTGCCAGGAACCCCTGAGTCCTGCTATTAATAACGTCAATCTCATGGAGCGAGACAGTGTGGACGACCTCCTTCCTCTTCTGTAACTCGCCCTCAGGACACTGAACAAATTTGGTCTAGTTATTAACAAAAATTAATTAGCCATTATTTATAACTAGCCACACCCTCACCTGAGGACCCATTGCATCATAATCTCTCGCACGTGTGAACGATCGTCCTAATTTACTGATCTTTCCTGTGGCTTTGTCAATAGTAATTATATCACTAGAGGGGCGTGGTTCATGAATATTAATGAGAGACACACCCACTTACCCAGCTTGAACCTTTTCTTTTGTGAGTGACTCAATCATTTTAGTCCCCAAATCATAAACTGTCTCCATTTCAGTTGTCTTAAGAGTTAGCTTGCCAACTTTAGCACCCTGAGAGAGAGAGAGAGAGAATAAAATTATAGATGAAGTATGATTTAAAGAAATTTTAAACATACACTTGTGTTTGCTGGCCTGTCAATTTGAATCTCAACCACTTCACCTTCAATAATCTCAGTTTCTTCCCTAATAAGAATATATAGGTAAAGATAATACATGTATTACATGTAGTTTTCCATGTTACAAGTGTAGTGCATGTACATGTAAGTGTAAAATTAATATTATTAGTAGTTTTAGGAGAAAATAAACAAAGAGGCAAAAAAGGAAACAGGATTAAATAATGTCATAGTAATTAAAAGTGTGATTACTTTATTCGAACGCCAATAGATCGTCTGAATGCTTGAGTGAGTGCTTCAGTCCTGCTCATTTCCAGTGAGAATATTTCACTGCCAGCAATAGCAGTGAATGGGGTATCGCTACCTAGAGCTTGGGCCATACCTGTTAAAATATAATAATAATAATAATAATAATAATAATAATAATAATAATAATAATAATAATATACAGAGTACATGTAGCAGTGAAGCATTCTCTTCAAGCCATTTTTGACAAAATTTCGCTAAAAACCGTGTACTATAGTACAGGGACTTTGGCCTGATTTTGGAGCAACTTTAAAAATTCATAAAAAATTTAAATTTGATTGGAATCAGCTCAAACTTGTTACACAACATAAGACCATGTATATGTATCTTTAAAATTTATAAAAACTGAGAATTCTCTATTTTTCATTTTTGACAAAATTTCGCTAAAAACCGTGTACTATAGTACAGGGACTTTGGCCTGATTTTGGAGCAACTTTAAAAATTCATAAAAAATTTAAATTTGATTGGAATCAGCTCAAACTTGTTACACAACATAAGACCATGTATATGTATCTTTAAAATTTATAAAAACTGAGAATTCTCTATTTTTCATTTTTGACAAAATTTCGCTAAAAACCGTGTACTATAGTACAGGGACTTTGGCCTGATTTTGGAGCAACTTTAAAAATTCATAAAAAATTTAAATTTGATTGGAATCAGCTCAAACTTGTTACACAACATAAGACCATGTATATGTATCTTTAAAATTTATAAAAACTGAGAATTCTCTATTTTTCATTTTTGACAAAATTTGGCTAAAAACTGTGCACTATAGTACAGGGACTTTGGCCCGATTTTGGAGCAACTTTAAAAATTCATAAAAAATTTAAATTTGATTGGAATCAGCTCAAACTTGTTACACAACATAAGACCATGTATATGTATCTTTAAAATTTATAAAAACTGAGAATTCTCTATTTTTCATTTTTGACAAAATTTGGCTAAAAACCGTGTACTATAGTACAGGGACTTTGGCCTGATTTTGGAGCAACTTTAAAAATTCATAAAAAATTTAAATTTGATTGGAATCAGCTCAAACTTGTTACACAACATAAGACCATGTATATGTATCTTTAAAATTTATAAAAACTGAGAATTCTCTATTTTTCATTTTTGACAAAATTTCGCTAAAAACCGTGTACTATAGTACAGGGACTTTGGCCTGATTTTGGAGCAACTTTAAAAATTCATAAAAAAATTTAAATTTGATTGGAATCAGCTCAAACTTGTTACACAACATAAGACCATGTATATGTATCTTTAAAATTTATAAAAACTGAGAATTCTCTATTTTTCATTTTTGACAAAATTTGGCTAAAAACCGTGTACTATAGTACAGGGACTTTGGCCAGATTTTGGAGCAACTTTAAATATTCATAATTTAGATTGAAATCAGCTTCAACTAACATACGAACGCGCATACAAAATTAGAAAATGTAATGAAAGCACGATTATACACATTAACACGTACCCATTGCAATGGCTGTTTTACCAGTCCCAGGCTGCCCAGCAATCAGTACAGCTCTACCAGCAATCTTACCATCCTAAAGGACATAATGAATTACACAAACACATACTCACTGTACATGTACGTATTTCCCTTACCTTTACCATCTCCAATATAACTCCAGCTGCTCTCCTTGCTGCCTGCTGTCCTACCATACCTTGCGATATCTGACGAATAAAGAATTTTAAATCAAAGTAATTATTTTAGAATTGGGATCTTAAACAGACCGGTCTTGGTTCCAATGCATCGTCTAGTCCCAGCCCCCGTATGTGAGAATGAGCACCTGATAAAATAATAATAACAATAATAATCATAATAATAAATTAATCAATTAATTTCATAGCATGCAATAAAATAGCTACAATAATGCATTACCAATTCGCTCAATTTTAGTAATGTCCCTGATCTCTTGGACTTGAGTAACAGCCTATTAATAATAAATAAAAAAACAGAAAATAATAATTAATTACACAACCTCATTCGCCATTTTGTCGAGTGTGAAAAAGGGCGATGTGAGCACGTGATGTTAGTCTAGTTATTAAAAGTTAATAAAACCGCATCTTTTGTAATTATTCGTCTCAAGTGAAAAATTGAAATTAGGTTTTAGGCCACGCCCATATCCACGTGTTTGCCACACAATGTCATCAAAGAAAAAGGTAGTCAAACATAAGAAGAAATACTGGAGGAAGCACTCAGATGTCAAGGATGTGGAAGAAGTGATAGCAGAAAAAAGAAGAGAAGAAGTTTTTGGGTAAGTTGTATATACATTAAAGCTTCATCATCATTAAAATTAATTATTATTTAATAATTTTAATTAATAATTTTAATTAATAATCTTTAATTAAATGTGCATTATATAAACAAGGGGGTGTCACTTGCATATAGTCTGTTGTTTCACCTGCGACCAGGATCAAAATGAAAATCAAGGCATCAAGAGCTCTAAAAGATAGACATCAAGAGATCAAGACTTGCTGTGGAAGTGAATCAAGAGATCAACATGCTTTTTAGATAAGCATACCTCCGTATATGGCCGTTTTTGCCTAATTAATATTCATAGTTTTAGTAAATTCTTGTACATCTCCGTATATTCTTGATCAAGATGCGGTCGCAGGTGAAACAGCAGTTTGATGCAAGTGACACCCCCTTGTATAAGGTACAAACGTTATTTAATTTGGCACATAAGAAAGCATTGATGTAAAAACATTGATTTTTGGGAAGAGTGAAATGATCTTTTGGAAACCACCATACATTTGCAATATGTACTTTTTAGAGGCAGCAGTAATACCGTACAGAAGGAAATTTTGGAGGGACTAAATTTTGGCGAATTGCTAAATTTTGGTAATTGGCAAATTTTAATTTGGCGAATTTGTGGCCACGTGCCATTGAGCATGCGTATAATGGCTCAAAATGGCAAATTTTTATTTTGGCGAATGGCTATCAAAATGCCAAATTCGCCAAATTTAACTACCTCCAAAATTTCCTTCCATACGGTAAGTTAGCAAGGCAACGTAAGGAAGTTAGTTTTTACCAATTTTGCTCAAATAAACAATTTTATTGGGAAATATACTTAACCTTTTCTGATGACTCATGGCACCAATTCTGAGTTTACTCAGACTATCAGTGAAAGCTTTCTTGTTTTCTCAGTACATGTTATACATCTGATAATAACAATGACACTTATTGTTTCAATCAAGAACATTTTTTTTTGGCTATAAATGTGATTTGTTTATTAATCACAGTTTCCAATAAAATTTTAAACCATGCATTACTAAGCATCTAGCATCATGATTCATGGCTTACCTAAACTAAATGACTTATATGATAAATGTTACCATTATCAATTAATTTATACAGGACACCTGCCATTGAAAAAAGCAACAAGGAACTCTTTGTGATTGCACGAGCTTCTGATACTCTAAGTAAGCAAATACATGTACATGTATGTATAGTTATACATGCATGAATTTTAAATAGTTATATTATGATGATCTTGGTCATCTGTTCCTGTTTATATTTGGATAAGTTATATCTTGTGTATATTATAAACACATTTCAGTTTGAAACATGGTCTGTCCTAGCTGCCTTTCTTCTGTCAAGAGATGGTCATGCTCTTCTTTTCCTGTCATCTTAGTCCTCTCTTGGGATTTTCTCATGTACATTCACATTCTGTTTTTCAGATATTTTGAGTTTACTAGTTTCCTCTCAGAGAAAACAAGCAACAGAGAGAGCTACACTGAGATTGGTCTTGGCGTTCTTTATTATGTCTTCTTCCTCTTGTTTCCTTTCTTTGCTCTCGTGTCTGATGTGTGGATTGTTAGGAAAAGGATAATAATGGCCGGAGCGCTACTCTGCTTTTCATCATTTATCATTGGAGGTGCTGGATATATCTTAAATAGTTGTTATTATTCTCAAGTTACATTTTGGCTCACAAAAGTCACCGTTACTTTTCTTGAAGTCATTGGCTATGGAGTGTTTAAGGCCAACATTGTTCAGTATAATATAGACCAACTTGTTGGTGCTTCTTCGAGTCTTTTAGATACTGTCATATACTGGCACTCTGCTTCTGTGCCCATCATACTAGCTTCATTTCTCATCATTCGCTGTCTCATGAAGAATCACGAGTATTTTGTCTCCCTCGCTTATATTGTATCTGGAGTATCTGTTTCATTAGTCCTAGCCTCTCATTCATTCTTTAAACACAAACTGGAGAATGTATCACTGATCAAGAATCCGGTCAAACTGATAATTGGAGTATTGTGTTATGCCAGGAAGCACAAGTATCCTGAGAATCGTAGTGCTCTGACCTACTGGGAGGAAGAGGCTCCTTCAAGGCTTGACTTAGGTAAGGAATTTTATGGCGGACCGTTCACGGAGGAAGAGGTAGACGATGTGAAGACTTTCTTTCGTATGGTCCCACTACTTATCTCTGCTGTTGGGTATAGCTGTAATGCTGAGATATACAAATGGATAATGTATGGATATAACAATGATGACAACAGTTTCTACGACTGCATCATGACAACACAATTATTCAGTCCTGTGTCCTTTGTTGGGGTGTTTTTAGTATACTTTATTCTCTTCAAATTGATCAGTGTATGCTATGCCCCTGGCATGTTGAGACTGATAAGTGTTGGTTTACTATTTAGCTTTGCTTCACTTGTGAGTAAAATGGCTGTGTTCATATACTATGAAAAGGATGGTGTTTCCAATTTGCCTTTCATTAGTCCCGTGTTGCTTGTACCACAGTTATTGGAAGGGGTAGCATTCTTGTTTATATTCCCAGTTTCGTTGGAGTTCATAATAGCCCAGACTCCAGGCCACATGAAAGGAATGATGATTGGAATGTGGCTGGCTTCTGTTGGAATCGGTAGTATTATTAATATCAACTTAAAGTATCCGTTTGGATGTCATAACGTGTACCTATGCACCAGCTACTACTACTACTTGACAAAGGCTGTACTGGTTCTTATGATATTGGTTGCTTATATTGTATTAACTAAATGGTACAAGTACCGAATTCGGGATAATGGACCCAAGCATCGTCCTCTGAATTCTATTGACGTACGCTATCAAGATCCTGCAATAGAGCAAGAGGATGAAGATTAATATAACGATTAGTAGTTTTGCATTTGTTTAGTATGTTTGTTCATTTTCAAAAGATTAACATTACTACTGATTTGATAGCTGATGGTTCATGAGATGCATGCATGTGCAAATGTTAATGTGTATAGTGGCTTTATTTTGACAAATGGCACTTACAAATTTCAAAATTTGTCAAAGTTACTCATAATCATATTCTACATTGCATGGCATTGCTTATTATTTACATGGCATGAATTTCTCATATTATGCTTCTATGTTTAGGTGATTCCTCTAAAGAAAAGTCCAGAGCTCTAAGAAGTGAATATCACTGTGACAATCATTCAGCTGTGACATTACCAGCACAAAATACTAAGAAAAGATATGACAATGAAGACAATGACAAGAATGAATGCGACTCTTCTGAGGAAGAAGCTGATGTGCCTCAAGAATCAATGTATAATTACATCAATAATGTTGTTGCTAATGATGTGAAGACTCGTGCATTCAACTCTCTAACAAACACCCTCATTGAAGCTAAACCAGTTGATATATGGGCCAACGAAGGTTGTTGTTATTATTATTATTATTATTATTATTATTATTATTATTATTATGCATTGTATGTGTAGTTAGTTAGTTATCATTTAATGTCATTATTTTATTTTCTCTTTTGTATAGGTGAGAAAGGGACTCCACTACCAAGAGTGAGTTTTGTATTTTTAATTAATATTTTATGCCAGGTTTATAAATACTTTTTTGTCTATTAATACAGAGACCAGGTGTAGTTTTTCGCTCAAACATTGCTAATATTGAAATTCCTCATTCTGGCACTTCCTACAATCCATCTTTCAAGGATCATCAGGTATAGCCATCAGTAGCTATAACCATTCATAGCAGTGTTTCATTGTATCTATACCATAACATGTAATTGTAAATATGGTCAGTGGCATGTGGTACCAAATTGAAAACTGTTGATCACTGTAAAATTTAGAAATTTAGATCGACAGATGTGAGAGTAGGTATAAAAAAATTAATTTTACGGTCATATACATACAATCAGTAGCTTTGTTGCCAGGAATTTCTTTGTATGTTGTTGGAAAATTTACTCTATATTTTAAGGTACATGATTCACGGCATCACAAACATTTTTGAATTTAGATCGACAGGTGTGGGAGCCTATCATAAAGTAATTGTTACAATTTGTTGCCAAGAATTTCCTTGGAAGATTTACTGTATATTTCAAGCTACATGATTCACAAGCATGACAAGCATACCAATGACTTGGCCTGTCGGCTTTAGTTTGATGAGAATGTCTTCTTACTGCCTTATCTTTCTTCTCTCCTTCATTGTCCTATTGTATGAAGCTAATGCCTCATCAGGTATGGGTCACTGTACTACTGGCTATCGTACTCCTTCCCTCTATCGCCAGTACTGCTGCTTATCTGCTAATAATGGAAAAGCTTTTAAAATGAATGAAAGTAATTCTTACGCATATATTTTCTGTCCAACTGCTGGTCTACCAAAGGCTTTATGTTACTCATTGGGATTAATCAATTTTTATTCTTGCAGTGAAGTGTTAGAGAACATTCCCAATGCAGCATCAGGCTATTATAACATCAGTCAAAGTAATGGGAGTATTGTTAGTGTGTACTGTGATATGGAGGGTAGTTACTGTGATGGTAATGGTGGCTGGACGAGAATAGGATACATTAACATGACAGAACCTGGTGCTACCTGTCCTCAAGGTCTCTACAACTACACATATGGAGGCAAAACACTTTGTGACAAATCTCAGGGATTAGGAAATGGATGTAATTCAACATTCTTTTCAGCGATTGGATTGAACTATACTAAAGTCTGTGGACAGGCCAGAGGATATCAGTTTGGAAGCCCAGATGGTGTTTATCCAAATGGTTACGACATTGATGATGCTTATGTTGATGGTTTATCAATTACTCATGGAAGCAATCCACGTCAACATATCTGGACTTATGCTGTTGGAGTTACTGCAGATGATGCATCAGCATCGTCATGTCCCTGTAATAATGGTACAACAGCTACTATACCTTCATATGTTGGTAATGATTACTACTGTGAATCAGGAACTACTTTTCGCATTTATAATTTTGTTCCTGATGACATAATATGGGACGGTCAGCAATGTGATTTACGTGAGTCTCCTTGTTGCTCCAGTTCTACAATCCCCTGGTTTATTAAAACCTTACCTCAGTCAGTTACTGATGATATTGAGCTGAGGGTATGTAGCAATGAGGGATATTCTAATGAAGCTACTCCAATTGATATTATTGAGATATATATTTGTTAAGTGCATGATATTGAACAATAATACATTAAGAATAACATGTCATAATGTTACTGCGTAGATCAAAATGTGACTGTTCCACTATATTGTATGGTTTGGTAGTAAGTGTTAGTATATTATCAATTAACTAACATAAATATTTTACTCACAGTATAATCATACATTGAATAAAGAATAGCCATGCACTTTAACAGAAATATAATTTTACTTTGTATCCTTTTGCTGGTTGCCATATTCCTGTTCACACTGCAATGATTAGATGTTTCATGTCACTTGCCCAAGTGTTTATTTAGGCTAGGTTTTTGATGAAATTATTTTGATTATGATTTGTGAGTTTTGAATTAAATTGCAATCAAAGGAACTGCTTTTTGTTGTCTATAATGCATCTGAATTAACAATGAGTTCATAAAACTAGAATGCACAGTGATAATGGTGCTGGCATAAGCAGCATGCTAGAAAATTGTAGTCATTCAAACACAACATTTATCTTATTTTCCCATTGTTTTAACATGCACTCAATCCCAAGCCAACTGTTGTTAGGCAGCTATGAATAAACATGCATACATGCTCTAGAAGATGTACGTGGGACTATGGACTCATATTACAGTCTTAATTGGTATGCTTTCATCAGGCTCTCCCTAATTACTGCTAATAATTGTTCGCTTCTAATCATTTCCTTATTCATTCTCTGAATTGCTATCCTACATTTTAAGCCCATTATTTCTAGGCAACTTGTTGTCTGATGTGGAATCTTTATGCTTGCAGGCAACAGATTTAGTTTGACGAGAATGTCTTCACACTACTTTGCTTTTCTTCTCTCCTTCATTGTCCTATTGTATGAAGCTAATGCCTCATCAGGTATGGGTCACTGTACTACTGGCTATCGTACTCCTTCCCTCTATCACCAGTACTGCTGCTTATCTGCTAATAATGGAAAAGCTTTTAAAATGAATGAAAGTAATTTTTACACATATATTTTCTGTCCAACTGCTGATCTACCAAAGGCTTTATGTTACTCATTGGGATTAATCAATTTTTATTCTTGCAGTGAAGTGTTAGAGAACATTCCCAATGCAGCATCAGGCTATTATAGCATCAGTCAAAGTAATGGGAGTATTGTTAGTGTGTACTGTGATATGGAGGGTAGTAACTGTGATGGTAATGGTGGGTGGATAAGAATAGGATACATTAACATGACAGAACCTGGTGCTACCTGTCCTCAAGGTCTCTACAGCTACACATATGGAGGCAAAACACTATGTGATAAATCTCAAGGATTAGGAAATGGATGTAATTCAACATTCTTTTCATTTATTGGATTGAACTATACTAAAGTCTGTGGACAGGCCAGAGGATATCAGTTTGGAGCTCCTGATAGTATTTATCCAAACAGTGAAGGAGGCACTGAGAACATTGATGATGCTTATGTTGATGGTTTATCAATTACTCATGGAAGCAGTCCACGTCAACATATCTGGACTTATGCTGTTGGAGTTACTGCAGATGAGGTATCAGCATTTTCATGTCCTTGCAATAATGGTACAACAGCTACTACACCATCATATGTTGGTAATGATTACTACTGTGAATCAGGAGCAACAACCTCAAATATCTATTCTGATATATTTTATTCTCATGACATAATGTGGGACGGTCAGCAATGTGATTATCTTGAGTCTCCTTGCTGCTCCAATTCTACAATCCCCTGGTTTATTAAAACCTTACCTCAGTCAGTTACTGATGATATTGAGTTGAGGATGTGTAGCAGTAATGGATATCCAGCTGAAGCTACTCCAGTTGATGTTATTGAGATATATATTCACTGAGTGCATGATATTGAACAATAATACATTAAGTATAACATGTCATGATGTTATTATGTAGATCAGAATGTGATTGTTCCACTATTATGTAGTTTGGTAGTAAGTGTTAATATTATTAGCAGTTGACTAGCATATAAATATTTTACATTGATTTAGTCAATACTATAAATAAAGAATAGCCATACATTTTACCAGAAATATAATTTTACTTTTTATTGTTTGGCTGGTTGCCATATTCCTGTTCACAACTGCAATGATTAGATGTTTCATGTCACTTGTCCAAGTGTTCATTAGGCCAGGTGTTTGTTATGATTATTTTGATTATGATTTGAGTTTTGATTAAATTGCAATCAAAGGAATTGCTTTTTGTTGTCTATAGTTCATCTGAATGAACAAATGAGTTCAAAGAATGCATAGTGATAATGGTGCTGGCATGAACAGCATAGAAAATTCTAGTCATTCAAATACGATGTGTGTTATTTGCCAATTGTGTTTTAATATGCACTCAGTCCCAAGCCAGCTGTTGTTAAGCAGCTATGAATAAACAAGCAGTCTTCGTATGCTCACCTTACAATTACTGCCAATATATTGTTTATACTGTATTGTTTTCCTAAATGATTCCCATACTTTCTATATATATTCTTCCCAAAGTCTTGGCAACTTGTTGAATTTTTGTGCTTTGCAGGCAACAGCTTTAGTTTGACAAGAATGTCTTCACACTACTTTGGTTTTCTTCTCTCCTTCATTGTCCTATTGTATGAAGCTAATGCCTCATCAGGTATGGGTCACTGTACTACTGGCTATCGTACTCCTTCCCTCTATCACCAGTACTGCTGCTTATCTGCTAATAATGGAAAGAAAATCAATTTGAGAGAAAATAATTCCAACAAATATATCCTGTGTCCAACTGCAGGTTTACCAAAGGCTTTCATTGGGATTAATCTTTTATTCTTGCAGTGAAGTATTAGAGAACAATCCCAATACAGCATCAGGCTATTATAACATCAGTCAAAGTAATGGGAGTATTGTTAGTGTGTACTGTGATATGGAGGGTAGTAACTGTGATGGTAATGGTGGCTGGATGAGAATAGGATACATTAACATGATAGAACCTGGTGCTACCTGTCCTCAAGGTCTCTACAACTACACATATGGAAACAAAACACTATGTGATAAATCTCATGATTTAGTAAGTGGGTGTAGTGCAACATTCTTTTCATCCATTGGATTGAACTATACTAAAGTCTGTGGACAGGCCAGAGGATATCAGTTTGGAGGTACAGATGGTATTTATCCAAACCATGGGGGAGGCTCTCCAAACATTGATGGTGCTTATGTTGATGGTTTATCAATTACTCATGGAAGCAATCCACGCCAACATATTTGGACTTATGCTGTTGGAATTTTTGAAGATTTAAATAGGGATGCTTGTTGTCCCTGTAATAATGGTTCAACAACTACTACACCATCATATGTTGGTAATGATTACTATTGTGAATCAGGAGTAACAAGTTATACTTATGTCTTGTACAATCTTTTTCCTGATGATATAATGTGGGACGGTCGGCAATGTGATTATCTTGAGTCTCCTTTTTGCTCCAGTTCTACAACCCCCTGGTTTATTAAAACCTTACCTCAGTCAGTTACTGATGATATTGAGCTGAGGATGTGTAGCAGTGAGGAATATCCTGATGAAGCTACTCCAATTGATATTATTGAGATATATATTCTTTAAGT